AATGAAAGTACAACGTTTCACCAGGTCAAGTAGTTGATGTACCTGATGATGCCAGGTTAACCTGGTGAAACGTTGTACTTTCATTAAATTTTACTCGGTTTATCAAGTTTACTTTTAATTACGACAGAGTACTTTCTTTTATCGTATTACTTTTTATTATTATACTTGTTTTTTTTCCTTTTCATCAGCTATATTTTTGTGTGCCAGCACTAACAAGCGTGGGGCTCGCGTATACACGATTCGATTATATTACTCATTAGGATCTCTACCAATCTATCCTCAAATCTAATAATATGCGCATCGTTCGTATTATATATATATATCATTTTCGGTACAAGAAAGGAATCATTTGGACCTCAGACGGGAAACTTCTGTGAAAAAATTAGGGCGATTATTTTTATTTTCTGTACTTTTGTCTGCAGGAAAATTAGTTGAAATAGCTAAATTTTGATTCACTCCATAAACACGTATAAAGCAATTTAGGCGGTTTTATAAGTACAATAAGTTGTATTTTTCTTCGGCCAATACTGTGAATAGCCATTGTTAATATTCAGACATCTTAAAGGTGGTTTTAAACGGATGATTTTTATGAGCGCCATTTTGTTTTTACTGTACTTTATGATATATATATATATCGCCTTCAATGAAAATCTCATCTTACAACAGCAAACGAAATTTGTTTATGCCCTACAAACTGAAAGGTATGGTAATTTCGAGCGTTTCATAATTCTATAATGGCATATTTTGAGTCCTATTGTTAAGTTAGCAGATTTTAGATTAAAGTAATCAATTTCCTCTATTTTATTTCTTAAATAATTATACCCTACTAGTTTATTTTCACGTAAAGTTCTACAATGACTGATAATTAAGATCCCACTAGTTGCACCAACAGACACAAATGGAAAAGACCTAGCTTTATGGCCCGGCATGGCCAGGTGGTCAGGGTGCTCCACTCGCAGTCTGAGGGTCGCGAGTTTGAATCACCCGTCGCACCAAACATGCTCGCCCTTTCAGCCGTGGGGTCTTTATCAAGTTACGGTCAATCCCACTATTCGTTGGTAAAAGAGTAGCCCAAGAGTTGGCGGTGTGTGGTGATGATTAGCTGCCTTCCCTCTAGTCTTACACTGCTAAATTAGGGACAGCTAGCGCAGATAGCCCTCGTGTAGTTTTGCGCAAAATTCAAAACAAACAAACAAATTTTATATTAGTAATTTTTAATTTCATAAAATGAAATAGCTTTGTACTTTATTTACATACTTAACTTTACTTGTGTTGTGTTAACTATCTTACTAATGTAGTCTTTAAATATTTTAAATGATTGAATAATGAAATAAGTTACGCTTGAATATGAGTAAACGATCAGTAATTATTGTCTCAGAATATCAGTTTAATTTTGATAACAAAGCTGAAGAACCAATATATTTTAATCACTCGCTAAGTACTTGTAAGTCAACCTATTGTATTTATGATAGAATATAGAACACGAGTAAATGTACTTAATCTTGGCAAATAGAGAACACGAGTATATGTACTTAATCTTGGCAAACAGAGAACACGAATAGATGTACGTAATCTTGGCAAATGGAGAACACGAATAGATGTACGTAATCTTGGCAAATGGAGAACACGAATAAAGGTACTTAATCTTGGCAAATAGAGAACACGAGTAGATGCACTTAATCTTGGCAAATAGAGAACACCAATAGATGTACGTAATCTTGGCAAATGGAGATGTACGTAATCTTGACAAATAGAGAACACGAGTAGATGCACTTAATCTTGGCAAATAGAGAACACGAGTATATGTACTTAATCTTGGCAAACAGAGAACACGAATAGATGTACGTAATCTTGGCAAATGGAGATGTACGTAATCTTGACAAATAGAAAACACGAGTAGATGTACGTAATCTTGGCAAATAGAAAACACGAGTAGATGTACGTAATCTTGGCAAATAGAGAACACGAGTAGATGCACTTAATCTTGGCAAATAGAAACACGAGTAGATGTACGTAATCTTGACAAATAGAAAACACGAGTAGATGTACGTAATCTTGGCAAATAGAGAACACGAGTAGATGCACTTAATCTTGGCAAATAGAGAACACGAGTAGATGTACGTAATCTTGACAAATAGAAAACACGAGTAGATGTACGTAATCTTGGCAAATAGAAAACACGAGTAGATGCACTTAATCTTGGCAAATGGAGAACACGAGTATATGTACTTAATCTTGGCAAATGGAGAACACGAGTATATGTACTTAATCTTGGCAAATAAAGAACTTAATATACTTATTTTAATGTAAACGGTTGTTTGCTGATCATATTCAAAGAAAAAAATGTAATTAAATTAGAACTTTAAAGCTTTTCATAGACTTTTATGGCAAGAATGCACGCAAGCTTAACAACAAACCATCTTGCATGTTCGAAATAGTAAAATTCATTAGTGATGAACTGACGTTATTTAACTTTCAGAACAACATATTTCCTCGCTAAATGAGCACATTGAAAGGTGAAAGATAAGAAAATTGCAATATTCATCCTTTTATCATTGTCTTACCTGATAGGGCAGCGAGTTTAATGACAACAACGGGAATCCAACATACAAAATCCGTGCCTACGATAAAAGCAAACCTCTTGGCTATTGTTTTGTCTTGCTGCTGTTGAGTAGAGCGTAATCCAATTTTGGAGGCAGAGATGGTGAAGAACATTGTGACGTAAGCGTACGCGATGAAGACGAAGGCTAATGTGTTCAGTCCACAAAAGAGAAAGGTCGAGTACTCCCAAGCCTGAGAAAAAGGTTTGTGAATATGTAGCGGCAAACAGACTCCATTGTTTCCATAGAATTCCAGGCCGTAGTAGGGGATATTAGATAAAGGTAGAGCTGACATCAATACCGCTACGGACCAGACAGCGAACATGTATGCAGCAGCAGACTTAATTGTACGACGATTTTCAACAACTGAAACAGGGTACAATATGGAAATGTATCGATCTGTGGTAATAATGGTCAAAATTAGGACTGATGCCTCGCTGCTAAGGGTGCTTAGAAAGCCACATATGTTGCATTTCCAACTGTGTCGCCATTGCGCATCAAACCTGATGTAGTGGCCGCGGTATGTGACGTCATGTCCAGCGATGATAAATAAGTACACACCCATTAAAAAGTCTGCAACAGACAAATTCACGATATAAAAAGAATGGGCTTCATTTTGTTCACGTAACAGTGCTCGACATATCAAAACAAAAATGTTTCCAAAGCAAGCTAAGAAAGCTATCATCCATACGGACACACGGAGAATAACGTTGTCAAGGAGATGGGCTACACTGCTGATGCCGTCATCATGTGGTTCGCACACTCGGACCTTTACAGCTAGTGAACACATGTAGAATTCGTCAAAATATCTGGAAGATAATGAAGCTCTTCAAAGTACATTCATAAAACACGGTATTTACAAACCAGAAATGTATGTCGATTAAAATGATATTTATTGCCATATGTTACATAACGAAACTTTCCGTTTTATTCATTCCAAGATGAGACATTATTTAAGAACATCCCCAGAGTAGGGACTACAAAACGGCTTGAAAACTAGCTTTTTATTTATTGTTTCTAGCTTCTTAGTAAAAATATCGACACACTAAAACATACAAGTATATAAAAAACTTAAAAAAAGAAGTAAATGTAAGGATGACTAATACTAATCCTTCAAAAACAATGCAAACAAGATATTAGGGATAGAACTGGCATCATCCCTACATTATTAATAGTACAGGCACGAATTAACATACAACAATATGTATAACTATTCAATCATAATTAAATTTAATTTTTCCTATTTTTGTCTGTTAAGATTCTACTACACTAGGATAATTTAAACTCAGTTGTGATCGAATAGTTATACATGTATTGCTATATGTAATTCTTGCCATCCCTACATTTACTTCCTTTTTTGAAAGTTTCTCTTTACTTGTTTGCTTGTTGTAATGCGATGTTTCAACAGACATAGGAAAATTGTATTTCCAACCTAGTTCTAAATACAATAACGTTCCAATTGTAATATTTATTGTTTATCTATTATCAGCTGGTAATCCCTGTTTCACCTTGTACTTAAATCTTTTAAAGGAACACACTATTTCTATAAGAAAGCTAGCTTCAAGGGGTAATGATTACATCGTTTACACTTGAATTATGATTTTTAATTACTACAAGTTAATAATAATACTTATAAAAACAGACACTACGTCTGAAACTATGTCACCTCAGTGAATTTGGTCGATACCATTGTTTTGGTTTTTGAGTTATCATGTAATAAAATAGAAGAAAGAAGAACAAGAAATTCAAACTTTTTGCTGTGATATCTACAGACATTCCCAGAACTTGTGACTCAGTCTTTACATAGATATCGTTATAAAAGGAAACACTGTATATATTGTAAAGTTCTGATGACCTATTGAAGACATATTTAAAATATCATTTCGAAGAACAATCCGAGCCATCCCTAAATAGGCAGTGCTACCGCCTGCTTGATACCGAGGTAATATAAACCTTTAATTAGTCATTCTTAAAACAGTTTGAATAGCAAAAAAAGAAAAGACAGTTATGAAGATCGGTGTAAGAATCAGTTGTGGTTGAGTGATGTGAGAAAGCAGCTGACTTTTGGTCAGTCCTTAAGTAATCTAGGAATTACAGCCGACTTTTGGTCAGTCCTTAAGTGATTATGGAATTACAGCAGTAAGTCGAAAATAACCTTTCTATAAATCAATTTTGCTAATGCACTTTGTTTGACTAACGTTATTTATGAGAAGCAATGGATAGGAATCGGCAACAGTAACTTCATTCAACCTTCTCGAGTCAATGTATAACCATCAGTCTTAAATACTGACACTATAGCCAGTGCATAAAGTCTGTGATATTACCTAATTCTTCCTTTTTTCTAACATTCTCCCTTTCTCACCTTTTAGAGCTCCCCTCAAATGGTATGACACATTCATTTTGGGTTCTAATATTGCAATATCAGAGGTTACTTTCACCACATGCTTAATTAACCATGTTTGTCCTGCCCTATCATGAAATAAACTATCATAATCTCTCACAATATCACGCACTTCTTCCTGTTGCTTAGGTGTTAATCCTTCAAGAATTTTAACATGTCCTGTCTGCTCATAAGGATCTAAGATAGTTTTCTTTTCACTCTCGTTACTATTAGTCTCTAAAAATGTCATCAAACAAGTTACAGGTGTGCTTCCAGCTTACCATGGCTTAAGCATAGTTACATGATACGTTCGTCCCACTACTTTTCCATGTTCGACATCTATCTCATATGTTATTTTACCGACACACTTAATTACAGAAAAAGGACCCATCCAACTTGCCACTAAACTATTTTCGGGGATAATGTCCAGTACAGCAACTAATTGATTCACTTTAAGTTTCTGTTATCTAGCATTCTTACCATAGAGAAGCTTTTGTTTATCCTTACTGTCCGGCTTTAGCTACTAAATTCTGCCTCAGGCTGGTTACATATTCTAACATATTTCGTGATTCGTCTTTGTCTCTGGGTCAACCTATTTCTAACAAGTTTGATGTAAACATAAAATCTCTACCATATAGCAACTCAAAGTGTGGAAATCCTGTTGTAGATTTTTTTATTTTGCCTACACAGTTTAGCTATAGGCCCAGCTTAGTCATATATAAAACATTTTGGTGAAGGTTTGTACTTTCTCTCCTTATTTACAAAATCATTCTGTGGAACGGTTCACCTTACTATTCTCGGGAAGCGCTGATCCAGTTTTATTTGTTTGTGGTAAGTAGTTCTGCTAGCTTGATTTTCACCTACTTTCAACTCACTATTTTTCCGCGTCACTAAATATTTATCTACTAAGCTAATGTCCCAGTTTCACGTGTGTTCTCTGGCTCCCTATTTTTTAAGGTAACATTGAACCTTAAAGAGCGCCCCCAATATTTCAAAAATAACATTTTTCAAATTTAGCTTAAATCCAAAGTTCAACCTCTTTTCTATATAAATAAATCATTTATTAACAGCTATTTTCTCAAAACGCAGTTTTCACTGTAGTCACCAGTTTATTAGCATGATAACTTCACCATTAAAGCAAATATGAGCATGAAAATTTAACACTCTTGTTGATATTACACTCTTCCATAGCTTGATATTTTTTAAATTCAAAAATCTTTACTAATTGTCTTGTTATGAGTCTAATTACCAATAACGAAGGCATTAATTAAAATTAATTGCCCATAGCTCGTTAACGTTGCAGAAAATTTGCAAAGTTTTAATTCAAGTTATGAGGATGCCCCCTCCCAATAAAAAACAACAAGTGTATCAATTTTTACGTTTTTATCATTCCTAAGTAACATCATGGTGTTAAAACAGTTTATGTTATGTATTTATTTATCCACGCTGCATTAATTATACATATGGCATATATGACTTAAAGCCTGTGTGGAGAGGCCATTGGCCAGTGATCATGTGTGGCCAACTTGTAGAATCATTGATAGTGTGTTTTTTAGCTGGTCAGAGAAAAAAGAACATCAAATCTCTTTTTGCAATTTCCCGCTTTTACGTACTTTCTCATTGTGTGTATATAATTGACCTTGACTGTCGAGTGCCCTAACCACCGGGCCCTTAAACAAAGGACCACACAATTTATAACTATTAAGGATTAACTGAACCACTATCAAAACCAAAACAGGTAAAATAAGTACCTAACTTCACTGGTTCATCTAATTTACTTTCCTTCTCAGCTTTTGTTGATGTGGTTCAAACTCTTCTTTCATTGATGAAACTTTGTAGAATGGACGGCAGCTGCCTGTTGTAGAGGACGACGTTTCGAATGTCTTCCGCCTTTTGTCTTCTTTTATTGTTGGGATTCGATTCCTGATGAATTGACGAGTCTCGCTTTCTGACACTACTTTCTCATGGGTAGACTTTGTTACGATCGTGTTATCCTCTCACTTCGCTTTTCCTGCAACTTTATTAACGTTGTACTTATTTCTATCAGGAATTGACACATAACAGATGTCTTTTTATTACTATATCAATAATTATTTTTTCCTCGTTTCTCTCTCGGTCTCCTTTTTTCTGTCTTTTATATTTCTTTCTCAAAACCACGCCAACAGGTCATTTTCTGTCCGACCTTGCACACCTGTTTTCCTTAATTAGGAATATAATACTCATAGTCGTATGGGGTTCTGTAAATACCGCAGCAGCTAAAGAAAAAAAGCGGCCGACCCCGCCAACAGTTCCGTAATCATATGGTGCTTTAATCCATTCATCGCTTACGGACTGACAAAAAGTCGGCCGCTTTCTCGCGTTACTCAATTCCAACCAATTCTTACACTGAACTTCATAACACAGACATATTACGCTTTTGTTGGGAAAAATATCATCCTAATAGAAACGCAAGTTAACAAATAACGACTTATAAACAAAAGAAAAAATATTTTATGTAGAATTTGTTTATTTTAGAGCAAAACCATATTAGGCTATCTTCTGTGTCCACATCGAGAACCAAACCCCGAATTTTAGTGTTGAAAGTCTGTAGATTTACTGCTGTTCCTCCAAGGACAATTTATTTAGCGGACATACTACATGTTTCAACAGAACTTGCACTACGTTCTCTACATAAAATAATTTTAATTATGCATATAATTGTTGCTTGTGAATTTATTATTTGACATATGCTTACATTCACCTATAAGTTTTTCTATATCAGTCTGAGGATCGCAGATTCGAATCCCCATCCCACCAAACATGCTCGCCCTTTCAGTCGTGGAGGTATTATAATGTGACGGTAAATCCCACTATTCGTTGATAAAAGAGTAGCCCAAGAGTTGGCGGTTGGTGGTGATGACTAGCTGCCTTCCCTCTAGTCTTTCACTGCTAAATTAGGGACTGCTAGCACAGACAGCCCTCGTGTAGCTTTGCGCGAATTTCAAACACAAAAACAAAATCTATACGCCAGGTTTTGACA